GAAAGCGAGAAATCACTCCCCAGGGGGGATGATCACGCCGTAGTCCCTTCTCCTCCATTCTCTCGGGATCTTGGGCATGCACACACACGCACCCGGCGTGAGTTTTAAGCCACTGCGTCCGGGAGGCGAACTGCGGTCAACTACATGGGAGTCCAGCAACATAGCCATTACGCTAACTGTTGGTTCCCAATCACAGGAATATTTTTAATGTTTGTAGTTCCTTGGAATACTAGTTCTAGTTAAATTTACAGTATCTCAGCTCAATTTCCCAGATCACAGTGTAAGAAAAATTTTAACATTTTTTTCTTTTCTTTTCTTTCCTTTTTTTCTTTTTTATCAGAGATACTTTCTTCTAATTCTTCCTGAGAGTGTGTTATTTACTGTATGGGAAAATGTTCAGGAATTGAGGCTTTAGAATCGTGTAATTTGAATAGATGCCCAATCATAGAGAAGAAAAAGTCCTGATGTTTGTCAATCCATCGAAGATTGTTATTGCTCTGTTAACATTTCCATCATGATGCTGCTGCCCAGTTATGTTATCCTCCATTCTTCCCACAGCTTATGTCCACACTTACCTAATCTAGCTAGACTCAGTCCCAGTAGATTTACACCAAGAGTCCTGATACATCTTCCCAACTTTCCATATATAAAAGGAAAATTGAACTTCTCTGTTCTCAGTTGCATATTATTGCCAGCTAAAATGAAATCAGACTGTAAACACACAAAATGTCTATGCCTCTTTCCTATCTATTACATACTCAAAAGCATATATACTTTACTATGGTGGAAGAATTATTATGTCTCCATTCCCCTTTAAGAAATCACACAAGCCCACTACTCTACAGAATATATACACTGCAGTCCATAGCTAAGAAAACCAATCTACACGCACACCAAAAAAGAAAACAAACAAACAAACAAGCAAACAAAAAACATACTCACCTCCTATCTCAGGAAGTATGAGAATTCTTGAATCATCTTGCTGAGGCAGTAGACCAACTAAACATAAGATTTAATATTCTGAGAATGACCTCTCCTAATAACCCCCCTGGCAGGACAGTACATTGTTCATCTTTGAAAACTGCATTCTTATTCAATTTTGCCAATGTTTTATTTAGAATGTTTGGACTCCTTGTTTTTTTTTTGTTTTTTTTTTTCATGCCTAATCTCTATTATCTGTTTGAATTAGGGTTATTTAGTTCATAAATTAAATAGTAAAATTCTCTATTTTTCTTTTTAAAATATTCATTCTTTAATAATAAGAATAAATTAAATCTCTAAGGCCTCCCTATGGGCTGGCCCTGTAGTGCAGCGATTATGGGCTCTGCAGAGGAAGTTGGACTCCACGTTGCCAACAATGGTTAAAGTTTCAGTCCAGCAACTTGAAAAATGCTAGATGAACATGCATATTCCCAGGATTCTACTGGGATAGAGAACTGGAGGAACAAAGACTGTAGCATCTAGGCTCTATTAGTGGATGCTTCTTTCTTCTCTCTCTCTCATGTATGTGTCCTCTGGGAAAAAAAAAAACAAACAAACAAACAAAAAAAAAAACTTCCTTACTAGAATACTTTTAATAGCATATAATTTTACTTTTATTTTTTCAGAGATTTTTGCATGTACTCTTGCAGAGAGAGACAGAGACAGTGAGAGGGAAAGTGAGAAATCACCCCCCAGAAGGAGGGCCATGCTGCAATTCCTCCTCTTCCATTGTCTTCCTGGCATCTTGGGCCTGTACACATGTACCTGATGTGAGTTTCTACCACTGAATCCAGGACTCTTAACAGTGGTTGGTCATGTAGGAGGCCAGTGACATAACTACTATGCCAATTGCTGAGCTCTAATTATACAATTCTAATAATAATATTACTAGTTACTTACTGTTAAATATTTATAATAATACATGTTTAATTTTTTTCCAATTTACTCTATAGTGTTTGATGTGTTGCAGAGTCTGAATACTAGTTTTTAATTTCACTTTGGTTGCCTCCTTATGAACTTTATTTACTTACTTATTTTTGAAGAAGTTTTTGCTCTAGGGAACATGCGCTCACCAGAAAGACAGAGAGACAGAAGTTGAGAAATCATCCCCCAGAGGGGATGGCTATGCCGCAATCCCTTCTCCTCCATTCTCCTCTTGGGATCTTGGGCACGCACGCACACGCACCAGGTATGAGTTTAAGCCACCGGCTCCGGGACTCCAACCACAGTCGACTACATGGGAGTCCAGCAACATAGCCATTATGCCAGCTGCTGGTCCCGCCTCCTTATAAACTTTCAAATGGCTAATCTGTCCATCAATATAAAAATAGAATTAATAGTTTATGAAGCCAGAAAAGACCTTCTGTGATCTAGTCTATCATCATCTTTTACCCGACTCTCTCTCCATTCCCTGCTTTGCATTTTAGACTCCAAAAACACTATCTTTTTAGTGGGTCTCTACATATGTTGTTCTTTACCTTTGAAAATGGTGCTGCTCATTCTTTCTTTCTTTTTCTTTCTTTTTTATTAATTATTTATTTTTAAAATTTTGCTTAAGACATGCGAGTTCATCAGAGATAGAAAGAAAGAGAGCTTCCCTCAATAGAATGTGGTTATGCCTCAATACCTTCTCTTTCATTACTTGATTTTTTCAGGATTTGGTGCATGCATGCAAATATACCCAAGTATGTTTTTCAAGCCATTACATCTAGGACTCCAACTGTGGAGTCAGCCATGTGGGATTCAGCTGCCTCTGCCACCAGGTGATGAAGCCGGCCTTATTTCTCCCTTTAACCTCAAGAGAAATAAAAGCATAGATGTTAGCATGCTGGCTCTGAAATTAGACTACATTTGTTACTTTAGTAAAGCAGAGCTCTCTCATCTTTTAGTGTTATCATCTGTAAAATGAGGATGTCAATAACAATAGTGCTGCTATGATAATTAAATGATTCTGTGCATGCAGTACTTAGAAGAGAACCTTGGATTTTGCAAAATATTCTGTAAATGTTAGCTGTAGTTACTATTATTTCAAGTGTAAACATTGTTCTTCCTTGGGACCAGCAGGTGACATGGTGGTTAAGGTGCTGGATTCCAACTGTGGAATCCAGTGGCCAACTGTTGTTTGAGTTCCAGACCTAGTGACTTGCTTTCTCACTTTCCCTCTCTTTCTCCCTCACACTGTCCCTCTCTGGTCAAATTCAAATTTAAAATTAAATAAATAAAGTTAAATAAAATCATTCTTAAAATAAAAAAAGTTGTTCTTCTTCTGTGCCTCAGCTTAGAGACTTTTGTTTACAGGAACATACTGTCTTCAGAACCCAAAGAAACCCATCTGACATTGTGCTTCCTTTTTTATGGTAGGGGATGTGAGGTGTGGCTCTTTTGTCTTTTACTTTGGAGGGGATATACTAGCACATATCCAACAATTGGATTTTTTAAAAAGTGGCCATCCCCATTTTGTAGTGCTTATTTTCTCTGGAGCGTGCATGTCTTAATGACATGTCCAGAATACTCTCGGCCTCTTTTTCAGGCTGTTCAGTCTGCCTGATGTCATCAGTATAATAGATCCCCTGACATTCTGTGGGATGTCCAGATTGCTCCAGATTATTGAACAATTGACATATCCCTCAAGAGAAACTGTAAAGGAATATTCTTATCTATACTCCATGAATGTGGACAGTTCCTGATTTCTTTTTCTAATTGGAACAAAAAGTATGTACTCACTAAATCAATGGCCACATGCAATGAACCCAGCCTTATAAATCTGTTCTAGTAATAACACCATATTTGCCATAGTAAGTGCAGTCAGGGCTTCTCTTTAGTTCAGCCTGCAGAAGTTTACAGTTATCCTCCAAGAATCACCTGGTCTGGTCAGTGCCAGACTGGTGAGTTAAGCAAAAATATGAGAGGGACCACTACCATATGTCCTTATACCACTTGCATCCAGGATATGATGGCTCTGATTTACTCTCTTGGCCAGGTTTTCAGGTGTGTTTTCATGTGGCCTATCTAAGAGTTACAGCTTTTATAACTTTCTTCATAGACCCAAGGCCCAATATGGGGATTACTTCAATTTGTAATTTAAAAATTTTTCATTATGCATGTGGAGGCAAGAAGAATGATCACTGATCAGTGTCTCATTGTGAACCAGACTTTAGTCAGACCCCATAGGTCCTCACTCTTGTGTCTTCAGATTTGAATGTCAATGGAAAACCTGTGTCTAATAGTTCTTGAAGTGTCTGATTACTTTCCTTTCCCCTGTACACAGTTACCTGAGTAAATGCTTATAGCTCCCTTTGGGAAAGGACCAGAGGAATCATTACAGTATTTACTTGCCAGGATGTTGTAGGGTCATTTCTCCTAAGGACTCAGCCATCTCTTCGTTTCATGGGTTCCAGATCTGAAAATTAACTCATGTCTTGGAACTAAGCAAAGTATTGTGACTCTTAATAGAGGTGACTGACCTCGGCCTCTTGACTTTGTTCATCTTCCCTGGACAATGTCTCCTATCAAAATCCTATCTGTTCTTTTTAAAAGCCCTATTGAATCCCACTTTCTCTCTAAATTCTCACCCTTATGACCTTAGATAGAATGAGTTTCTCCATTCTCTGAACTCACATACATGTGCGATCACACTGATTTATGTTATTTTTACTTTGGTAAATCTTTTGCCCTTACTAGAGTATACATTGAGGCTTATATTGTGCTTTATTTATCATGTTATTGTTTAAAGTGCCCTGTATTTATACTTAGAAGGTATTAAGCAAGCTATGAAAGTGCACTGACTTTATTTTAATTACACTGGCTTTTCTTCTCTATTTAGCTCTTAAATAAAACATGTTAGTGTTCTATTTATATAGTATTTTCTATGTGTAAGCTTATTTACTAAAGGGCAAAACTATGTTCATGTTGTTTATGGAATTTTACACATTGATGAATAAATTTTCAGTTGAATTTTTATTCTTCCTTATGTGAATCCAAGTCAAAATACCATTATTGAAAATATTGTTTCTTTATAGATAATTTGTGGTAAAAGCCTTTCAGTGAATGAAATGACTCTTAGCTCTTTGAAAGAAGAAGGATACAAAGCTGCTTTCATTGGAATAGGTGAGTAACTTCTAAATAATTTTCTTTATAATACTTTTTTTTGGACAATATCCAGAAGAATTAATGACTGCCTCTAGACATTTTCATGGTAGAAGGTGGACCAGCTCTGGGAATGACAGAAGTAGTTGACTAACTAAATTTCAGTTTTATGTCTATTTGTACTACTTCTCCTTCGTTAGGGATAGACTTTCACATGATCCTCTTTTGCCTTCCCTTTCTCTCCCAGCACCATCATTATTGGGTGGATGTGTGAAGCAAAATGTTTCATGTCATGCCATGAGAGCTCAGAATTTCTCTGTGTGCTATAGTTTTTTTTGAATGGTAAAGCATTTGACTAAGTGGATAGTAAAAGACAGAGCTGGCTCCATTTTTATCTATTTATTGTTATTTTGTTAATATTCTAAAGACTTCTTATTTGGTTGAATTTCAAAAGTATTCAGTCATAGTTCTGAACATCCCATGGACAAAGTATAGCCACTGAGGCACTTACTGTATGCTATAGTCCTGTATTTTGCCAAAAGCCTCATGGAGATTGAATTTTCTTTCACCATTGTTTACCAGAGAGAAAAATATGTATTTAATTTTGTCTTTCTGATGAACTTTGCATTCGTCCTCTCATTTAATTATGCTCTGGACAATTATGTCATATAAACTGAATATGTTAAATTGTTACTCATGTTTAATACAAGTCCATCCTCATGTCTTTCAGTTTCTCTGTCTTTAGTGTATACTATTTGAATATGAATACCTAAATAATAAACCCTTATAAAAATGAAAACTATTCCCTTTTCCTTAAGTGATCATACAGTAGGTAATATTCGTTTTGGGGCTATCTTTTTTTGTTGCATTTTAGAGTAAAATCATAATTAATATTTTTAGTGTACTAAACTTTTCTAAGACCTTCTCTGTAACCCCATTCATTTAGATGAAAAATTATGGAAAGGATAAATTTGTATCGTCTTCCAGTGCCTACATGTCTGTATTGAATTTCTTTCCTTTCAGAAACATCTGAATGCCATTGTCTTCACTATGTTTGTACATTTATTTACACATAAATATCATTGTGTATATCAAGAATAGGATGGGGCAAAGGTCTGAGGTTTTCTCTAGGTTCTCTTTTTAGAAATATATACCTGATTTTGATTTTACTTTTCAACATTACATTTCTATTTGAAAGTTTTATGTAAATATATATGGAAAGTATCTATAAAGTATGTTCTATTAATTTCAGCGTTGATGGATGATGGATCAAGTTCTTGTTATTCTTAATAAACCCAAGTTAATGAACTTGGTCAATAATAAGTGGAAAATTTAGTCAGGCATTAGATCTGAAATATTGGTGACATTATCAAACAGCTATTTGAAATTCTCTTGTGTGCTTTCCCACAGTAGTTGTACCTAAACTATTTATTTTCCATCACTAGAGTAGTAAATGCTCATGACTATGTATATACATGTGGCTATGTATGTCTGTGTGGCCTTTTTTGTTGGGTCATTGGAAAAGTCATGACATATGTTTCTTTGCAAAAAATGCGTCATGACTTTTTCGATGACCTAATTCAAGGAACATCTTAAGTGAAGAAGTACGGGATAAATAAACAACTACTCAATACATTGAAATATTTCTAAATTGTGACCAGCAGATGACAAAATGGTTTTGTTGCTGGACTCCCATGCAGTCAACCACTATTTGAGTCCTGGACCAAGTGGCTTAACACTCATGCTAGGAGCATATGTGTACATGCTCAAAATCCTGAGAGGAGAATGGAGGAGAAGGGATTGCAGCATGACCATCCCCCTGGGGTGTGATTTCTCACTTTATCTCTTTCTCTGTCTCTCCAGAGAACACATGTGCCCTATAGCAAAACAAAACAACAACAAAATTTCCAAATTAATTGCTTAAGATGAAAAATTATTTAGATGAAAAATTATTACAAATTGGAGTAATAAATTGTTCCACCGCTGCAGGTGGCAAAAGCCATAAGAAACACCTTCCACTTGAAAGAATCAATAATGTTTTAGCCTTTTAATTTTACTTCCTTTCATTAGGCCTCTTATATATGTTTTTTGATAGTGCTACTCCTCACAATACAGTGGTCTCGACTGGATTCTGCACTGAGGTTTGAATACAACATTTAAAGCATAGAGCAGAGCCCTTTCATATTTATATTGTTGTGCACTTTCATGCTGAGAAGTGAATCTTTTGACATTTTGGTGTAGTGATGTGAGGAATGCAGTTATGTTGTATTTCAGTATTTTATATAAAATATATACAAGAAAGTTTCATCTTGTCAAAAAAAAAAAATCTTCAGTCTGTGGAAGACAAGAAGCCTTATCCTCTAGGAAATGTTTGTTTGACACTCTTGATTGTCAATTTGGGAATTTATGACCTTTCTATTACCATATAACTGTCTGTTACTTGGGCAACCTCACATCCTTACAAGCTTTTGTTCATTAACCTTGCTTCTATATCGTAATTATATTTCACTCACTTATTTTATCTACTCTTTCTCAGTGAATTTGGAGGAATAAATGATAGAATAGTGTTTAGGATGTACGTTTAGGCTGCTTTAAGAATATAATAGAAGCTAGAACTATATAGTAAAATAATGTATAGATGTGTGTGTGTGTATATGTACATGTACATCTATATATGTGTGTATATATGTGTATATATATCTATATATAGATATATACGTGATATATACATATATAGCTCTCTCATATGGCAGTGTGAGCTGTCTTCAATTCTTGACTTCCAGCTTTGGTCTATGGTTGGTTATCAGGCCCTTGTTCTTTACTAACAAAAGTGGAAAAGGCAGAAGGCACCACCTCCCATCCTCTTAAAGTCATGACCCAGAAGCTATGCATATCACATCATTTATCTCATTGTCTATAACCTGATCATATAAGCATACCTAGCAGCAAAGGATGCAGAGAAATATAGCTTTAGCTGAGAGATGCATTCCCCATTACACTTTTGGAGACAAAGGCAATAACAGACACTGAAGGAGGAGACAAAGGATGCTCTCTGCCACAGGTGTGGATCATGATGGGTATCTGACGCATGAGATCATGAAAGCACTTAGAAGCAAGGAAAACACTCCTAGGTTTAGTGCTTATATATTGGTTACATAAGTAGTTTCATAAAAGTGGAGATGCTTTCTCTTTCCATAGTTGGTAATGTCATAGCTTGGACTGCCTGTGTTTATAACTATTATCTTACACTGGCTTATCTAGAAAATAACTTTTTTCATAAAGAAAATTCAGTAAGGATATTTCCATAAACCTATTGTATTAACATAAATGTGTTCTCATGTTTTCTGACTTTTAATATTGTGTGACATTGCTGGTTTTCACTTTTAAATTTTTGCCTAACTAATGCTAGCAGAATTCATTAAGAAAATTCTCTCACTGTATACACATCATTGTAAGTTTTAAAGGGTAATGTGTCTACATCCCTGAGAGGCTTATTTTATTCAAAATAGTGGCAAAAATCACAGTAACTTATTTGGAAATGGATTGAGTTTTTTTTATGATAATTGGGATTTATAAAATTTTGGCATTTTTAGTATACTAAGAGCATCTACATAGTGTTTTACCGTCCATGTTAAGTAGAGTCTGACCATCCACTACATGGACTTTTTAAAAATTTTGAGTGATTCTCTTTGGTTAGTGTTGAAACCAATATGATGGGTTAGAATCATTATTTGTTTTTATTTTGTAAAACTGAGTAGAAATGATAGAATAGAAAATATCAAAGTGTGTTACAAATGGTTGGGATAATTATTTTGTGAAAAATGTTTTTTAATTGTGTGTTGAAGCCGTGGTCACTTTATTATATATAAAATGTATTTTGTTGGGGGGGGGAGATTTTTGCTATAGGGCATTTATGCTCGCCAGAGACACAGAGAGAGACAGAGAGACAGAAAGTGAGAAATCACACCCCCCCCTTGGGGGTGAAGACCACGTTGCAATTTCTTCTATTCTCTCGTGATTTGGGGCATACATGTACTTGTGCCCAGCATGAGTTTCAAGCCGCCAGGTCTGAGACTCTAACTGCAGTCAACGTATGAGTCCAGCACCTTAACTACTGCTCGATCTGCTGGCTCCATAAAATGTATTTTTAAAATGCAGGTTAGTAACCACAGCTATATACTGTAAGGACTTGAGGTACTAAAAATCACCTTTTTTCCATAGTGTACCCCACACCTACCAATAAAAGACTGTCATGTGAATTAAATACATATCAAATAATAATATTTTAGGTACTGTGCTTAGACTTAAGTATTTTTAAAGTCTTAATTTTAAGTTGAGTCAGGAAAATAGTAAAAGATTCAAACAGAATAACCACAATTTTAATAATGAGATGTGGTGGAGGATGGCTGAGAATGGTCTAGTTTGGTATTTTTTAAAACGTTTTTAGGTGATTCTATCTTACAACCACATTTAAGGACTGCTATTCTGGATGACTGAAGAGGTGAATTTAGTCGCTCCTTAAAAAGAGCTTATTTTCTTTCCTCTTTCTGTTTGTCCTCTGGCAGTTCTCTCTTGCATCTTCACAAAACATAGTAGTGCTGAGAAGTTAAGTATGTAAGAGCAAGAACATGCACTGATACCCTCAGACAACAAGTAAACTTCATACTTCTGACTCTCATTTTTTCCCCTGAACTTTATTTATTTTGGCTTTTGCTATAGAGCATGTGCACTCTCCAGAGAGGAGAGACACAGAGAGAGACAGAGAGAGGGAAAGTCAGAAATCACCCACCAGAGAGGATGGGTGACGATGGCCTTGCTGAAATCCCTTCTCCTCCATTCTCCTCTTGGGATTTTGGGCCCTGAGAAATTAAATGAGAAATAACCTCCATTGGGGATGGACATGCTGCAATCCCTTCTCCATTCTCCTTTTGGGGGTTTGAGCATGTTTGCACATGTACCGGGTGTGATTTTTTCAAGCTTCCAGGTCTGGGACTCAAACTGCAGAGTCAACTGGTTAAGGG